CACAGATTTCAGAAAATGAAAAAACAGAAAAAGGCTAACTTATCCGATATTCTGGTGAAAGTTATTTAATAGGATTTCCAACTCGTGATAATATAGTTACGGAAAATGATGAGGGTTTATCTGCAATTCTTAATAATGCTTTGGCTAAACGAGAAGAGATCCCTTTTATGGCTGTTGATTTTGAGGGATCATCAGAAAAAATAGGTGAAAAAAATCATTATGTTTTATGTCTTTACAGCTCTCTCATCAATGGCCAAAAAGCAATAATTACTCTTACGGAAATCCAGATTTTCTTTGATATACTTATACCTAATAATAAAATTGTAAATGAGTTTAGGATAAAAATAGATGAAATTCTTAGTAATACGATAAACATCTATAAAATAAAACATATTAAGATCTTCCCCTTGCATGGTTATCATACAGAAAAAAAGTCATATTTATGAATTTTTACACTCGGTAGTAGGGATAGGAAGAGAGCTCTCCAAGCTATCCAAGATAATAATTTTGAAACCGCTTCAGATGATATGTTCTCATTCCACCGTAAAATAGCTAGAGAAAATGGAATTGCGATTTCTGGTTGGTCTATGATAAGCAAGTATAGATATAAGAAACATTCCCATTATATACATGATTTTTGACTTTCTGTAAATGATTTTCAACCAGTAGAAGATCTAAAAATGATAAGTGACTGTTTTCTGATTTCAGCGCTCATGAGAGATTATACACTTATCCTTACATGGGATATAGAGACACAATCGTGAAAGTTAGGTGAATTTGCTAAAATACATGATGAAGAAAGTACCGTATTCATGATTTGTATGACTTTGCATTAGAAAGACAATTCGAGATCACTAAAACAAATCTGTCTCATCGATCTTGAAATTGCACCAGACCCTCGATGGATAACAGTTGTATGTGGAAATCAGACAAATTTACTAAAAGCATTTGCATTGTGCTAGAAGACTTTCATCCCTGATATTCAATTCGGATTTAGCGATTCTGAGTACAATTGGCCATTTATTATAGAAAGAGCTTGTAGACTTAATCTTCTTGAATGGATATGGAAGCAAATGATGGAAAATTTTAAATCATCAAAAGAAATTCAAAAATGGAATTATTATGGGAAAGTAGGGGTGAAATCTAAAAATAGTTTTCAAATTAAAAAAGACGCCATTGATGATAATGAGGAAGAAAATGATAAGATACAATCGATTATAATCAAACTTAGTCCAGAAGATAATTATATTTCTACTTTTCTTAAAATACCAGGTTGTGTACCAATTGACGTACGTATATATTTTATGAAACTCTATCCTCGTGCAGAAGTTGATAAAAAAAGTTCACTTGCATTTTACTTAAAAATATGTGAATTGGAAGATAAAGTAGATATGCCATATAATAAAATATGGAAAATTTACTCAGAAGCGAAAGAGAGTATTTCCTTATTGTGAGGTAATGATTCGAAGGATCTAAATAAATCGCATTCTACTATAGAAAATATGCGTAAAGTAGCATATTATTGTATTATAGATGCATTGCGTTGCCAGGAGCTTATGATTAAGCAGAATATAATTAATGACTATAGGGAGATTGCTTCTATAGCTTATATATCTTTGTTTGATTCACATTATTGGACAAATAGAATGAAAGTATGAAATCTTCTGGGGGCTTATGCCACTAAATGTAATATACTATTTAGTACGAGATCATGTAAAAATATAGAAAAAGATAAATATCCTGGTGCATACGTATTTCCACCTAAAAAAGGAATTGAGATGAAGAGGTCTATTACAGAATTGGATTTTGCATCTTTATATTCCAGTCTTATTATGGCTTACAACCTTTCTCCGGAAAAAATAATATTAACTTATAGAGAGGCTGATATCATACAAAAAAATAGAAATAACTTGTATAAGATTGAGTTTCCATTTAATAACTGTATTATCCATGCTTGGTGTGTAAGACATGATAATCAATTTGAGAAGAAGAGTTTATATCCTATTGTATTAGAGGATCTATTCAATAAGAGAGTAAATCTTAAAGTACAATTTGCCTCGTTAGAAAAGAAAAAGGAACATCTTGAGAAAATAATAAGTTCAGTTAAAGTGAAAGGTAAAAAAATTCCGGAAAGTTTAAATTTAGAATACTCATTTATATGCTTTGATTATGATTATTTGAATTCGAAACAAAAAGTTTTGAAGATATATATGAATACTTTTTACGGAGAAGCAGAAAATTCAAAATCTCCAATCTTTCTTCATGAATTAGCCAGAGAGATTACTTCCGTGGGTCAATATAATATTGATATCATTGCTAAATTCGTATCTGGGAAAGGTTTTGGAATAAAATATAGGGATATCGATTCTTTATATCTTACCTGTCCAGATAAATATTATGAAAAATATGATAGAGATTTTAATGAAAGAAACCTTTCTAAGGAGGAATACTGGTCTGAAATGGTTAAAATTACTATGACTGTGATGGAAAAGTTGCATAATTAAGTAAATGCTTATCTGAGGATAAAAAATGGCATATCTTATCTTAAAATGGCATACGAAGAGGTATTATTTCCTATTTGCTTTACCAGCAAGAAAAAATACTTTGGTATACCACATGAAGGGGTTGTTAATTTCAAACCAGATAATCTTTTTAAAAAAGGGATTGATAGCGTAAAGCAAGGCCAGTCTCAGCTTTTCAAATTCATCAGGGAAAAAATTATGTGGGAGGCTATGGATATAAATAATACATGATCAATTCATAAAATTGTTGAAGATACTCTTAGAGAGACCAGAGATAAGCAATGGAACTTTAGTCAATTTATTGAGACGGCTACATGGAAGCCTAAGAAAAAAAATCTTTGTGTCCAGCATTTTATAACACGAATGAAAGAAAAAAAATTGAATATCCCAGATTCTGGTGAACACTTCAGTTATGTAATAATAAAAAATAAATATTATCATGATAAAAAAGGTCGATTAATGCCGTATAAACTTGGTGATTATATGGAATATCCAGAGTTTGCAAAAGAACAGAACATGAAAATAAATATCAACCACTATATAGAAAGTACGTTGGGATTATGTGCACAGTTTATCAATGAAGATGAGAAATATCAACCACCATCTACACATAAAATTATGTAACTCAAAGATTCGGATGAGAAAAAAAAGCAGATTGATGCATATTCCCAAAGAGAAGCCAAAAAATGATTTACGAAATATATCAAAGGCTTAAATTAATTTATCTATATTATTAAACCCAAAGGGTCATTGCTTCACAATAGTATTCTTAGCTAAAATCACCATAATCTACTAAGATACTTATATGTCTTTAGATACTAGTCCTGCTATACATTATTAATAATATTTTTTTTTCATACATAAATAGACACGAAGTATACTGCTTTACAGATATCGAAGTTTAAATAGATAATTCCTAATATCTAGCCCACATATCCAATAACCAATCACGTCTTTTATGACCCTTTAGGGTCACCTCTTTGGGCCTGCGGAGCAATGGTATTTTGAGCCTACCTATATTCCATGTGCGTCTCACAAACTATATAACCGCAATAATTAACAGAGCAAGAAAAATATATGCCAATAGCGGTAATATTAAAGTATTTACCACAGCAGGGAGAGGCAAAGCCTTGAGACTAGGTCTCATCGCTCCTATTTCTCCTATTGGAAGAGGTAAAGCCTCAGGACCAGGTCCTATCTGAGAATTCGATTGAATTAAAGAGGACATGTTATTTTCTGGTTATGCAAGATACAGAATCACATTCGATATAGGAGTTATTTCATTATCAATATTATTTGGTATAATAGTGGAGCTAATATCAGTGGCAGGCACGTAAGTGCCATTGTTTCACAATAAGCCACAAGTCTCCGACTCAAGATATGTATTATCAATTTTATCATTAGCGAAGCAAGTACCAAAGGTGCTAGTATCTGTCAAGATATCATTATCGATTTTTTCAGTTTGATCCATACTTTTTCTGCGTACAAAATACTTACTTAGATTTTTACTAGATTCATTAGATACGTAAGTGTCATGATTCAAAGAAGAGACAGAGTCTCAAATCTCTGATTCATCGCCTAACAGCCTGCTTTGCAATACTACAGATATATCATTAGGCTTGGTTATGGAACTTTGTTCCTCACATAGCGTATTTTTTATTGTGAAAACAGGCTCCTTTAGAGCGACTCTTCGAGTCATGAGGCTCTGCCCCTTATCATCTCCACTGATTATAGATCCCGATATATCCTCAGATTTCAGACGCTCCAATTCACTAATTTTTAAAGCTAATTCAACTATCTTAGACTTGAGAGAGTCGATTTCGGACCCTTTCTTTGATGAGTCTTTCTGAGATAAATCTAGCTTATCTTTCAATAATTTCATCCTATTCCAAAGTGATTTAATCTCCTCTAATTTTGTAGCATACTTAGCCTTGGATTCTGCAAGAGATATATCTTTACGAGCATTTTCAATCTGTAGACATCTGGTCTCTTTAATAAGTTCCAGATTATGAGTGTGTAATTTCTGGATCTCAGTATTAGCCCCTCCTAGTTTTTTACTCCACTTCTTTCTATCCTGATCCCATTATCCTCTCTTCCAATTGATTTTTTTTTCTTGTTTTTCATACTTATCCTGCAATTTAACATTGTATGAAACTATCTCAGAAGAATCTTGGAGAGCATTATATAATTTTTTTTTAAGATCTATTACATTGGCCATATTAAATAAAGAAAAATATTATGAAAAATAGCAAAATATGAAACACATATATACTTATCGATAATGCTATCAAAGAAATTATGCTCCAATATAATTCAATAATAATAGATAATTACTGATTTTTTTAGAAAATTATTGAATATTAAGTATGTAATTACCTATAATTACCAGTCATTTTTTAACATAAGAAATATAGATGTGTTTTAGCATTTCCAATAATTTCCAATAATTTTCGATAATTTTTTATAATTATAAAAAGGATGGAATATATAACTATAGAATATTATCATGCTGGTACTTCTTATTTATTACCAGAAGCTATTGAGAAAATTATTCAATCTCGAGGGACAGTTAAAAATGCATGCAGGGAAATGGCTAATAGATATAGTACTTCAACTCATAGAATATATGAAATTTAGAAAAGACATGCTGAAGGTATACCCTTGCGCAAACAGCAACTAATACATAGTGTTGTTTCTTCTGAGATAATGTCTGAAAATAATACTTCGGATAGAAAGTCAAAGAAAAGAAAACCAGGATCCAGCTCTAGATCTGTTCAAGTATCTGATTCAGTCAATATTATTAGGATGGAGGCTAGCTTTTTAGCTAATAAAGTTGGTATAACTGATATTCTGATAAAAAAAGTAGATGAAATGAATGACTTACAAGTTAAGCTTGCACAAAATCATAAAGAAAGGGAAGAAGCTAAATGTGAGACGAAAAGAATCTTAGATTCCAACTAATTTATTTTTGTTTTTTCTAAAGTAGTTTGCAATCTATTGCAGAGTAATGGCTCTTCGAGCCTACATACTCTGTTTCAATATCAGATTTGTTATAAGCCCATAGTTTTTTATTAAGCTCGATTAATTCAGTATTGGATTCGAGTACCTCATATAGTGATTTTTCTAACTCCTCATAACTCATGCGTTTTTTTTTAGTACCAAAGGTACTTGCTTCGCTAATGACGGATTATCAAAATTTGGGCTAAAGTTCGCAGAAGCATGCCATTCCTCCAATGTTATATTGTCATCCTTATCACTATCCGTTTCTTGAGAAATTTGATCAGATATCAATGACTTATTATTCTGAGATGCAGTAGCGCAATTTAATTCAAGCTTATTCTTGACTTTATGTATAGTTACTGGAATAATGTGATCCTTCCCATTAAAAGGAATTTTTAATTCATCTTTCCTCCAATCTATAGCACATTTATATTTCTTGAGAAGTGGGTTTGAAAATATCAATATTGATTTAGAGATACGTATAACTACAAAATCTTCACGTATAGTAAAACCTGAAGGGAATATTATTGGAAAATTACGAGCAATACCGATAGATTCTGTTGGAACTGTAGTAATACCACTAAGATCATATTTTTCTGATTTATTAATCAGCCAATTTACACGTTTAACAATATTTTCTGATGTAATTGGGGGTTCAGCTCCACTATCAAGTACTAATGCTAGAATTTTTAAGCGTTTAATTTTAACTGGTATAGTTGCAAGACTTGTGGTAGGTTCCTTTCTTCGAACAAAATCAATCTCTATAGGATCATTCAGTATCTCCTCTTCATCATCTGATTCGGATATTTCTGGAGCTGGCTCTCGATAATTTATAAAATCAGGTTTCACAAGCCCTTCAGAAACGACTCTTTGAGTCATAGATAAATTTGTATTATTAATATTATTTTTAATAGTTTCTATAACCTCTGAATTGTTAAACATAGCTAAAATAATTTTTCGAATTTGTGAGTCAATAATCGTACCTGATTTCTTTTATATTTTTTGTGAAGAACTTTTCTTTGAACTAGGCTTTTTAGATAATGATTTATTCAATTTACTCTTTGGCTTTACTTTTTTTTTGATTTAACAGCATTGATAATTTTCACAATTTCAGTTTCAGTTAAGTTATTCACAGAATCAGATTCCGATTCGGAACCAGACCCAGAGTCAGAGTTGAAATTAGATTTATTATCAGAAGAGCTAGCATAAGACTTAGAATCTGAATCTTTAGTAGCAAGATTAATCCTACCTTTTTTCTTGAATCTGCTTTTATTAGAACATCTAGACTTGCTCTTCTTTTTATTTTTAGGGCAGTTGCGAGAATTATGACCTTTTTTATCACACTTTGAACATTTGTATTGAGAAGATTTTAAAACAGCATGTATTACTTGAGCTAATTTTGCTTGATTGATATCCAACTGTTCAAGCTGTAATCTCAAATCTTCAACTGAATCATAGTCATAGTCCTCAGGTAATAGTGGACTTCTGTCATCAGAAACACTATCTAAAAGACGATCCAAAGCAAGATCATCAGCTTTTTGTTTCCCTGATCCAGGGGGTTTCTTCAAAGTTTGCTGTCCTTTAGCAATAGTTCTCTTCAAACCTGCTATAATTTTTTTGAAATCATCTTGTGAAAGTGTGATCTGGTTCTCCTGAGATTTAGAAGAGATAGTTTGCGAGACAGGTTGAGATTGTTCAGATAATATCATAGATTTTACCAAGTTTCTGACTTCAGCTTCAGTCATACCTGTATTGCTTGAATAATTATTCTTTCCATGACCTTTACTGGATGATACTGAATCTGGGTTTGAATGCAGGTAAGCTCCAGATAATTGTTCTGCTGTATATCTTTCAATTTCTTCAAGTTTCAGAAGTAACTCATCTGGAAATTTTTTGATTTCTAAACGACGAACTTCTATCTGGTTGGTAGGTGAAAGCTCATGAAGGAATTGCAATTGAATTTATTATTCATCAATACCAGCAAGCCTAGCTAATCTACGTAAATTAGAATAGAAACAGCCAACGGGGTCACTTCCTTGAACTGTTGAACCAAAAAGTACTTACTGTTTCTCTACAGTAACTGTAGGATAATTAGTTCTAAACCAGTATAATACTTGTCCAAGTCGAATACCAGGTACAACTACAGTATTACCTGTATTAGCATTGGATGCATTGGGTAAGCGATCAGTTGGTCATCCATCAGCAAAAGACCAATCTTCATCAAATACTGTATGAGCTGGAATTATAACATTACCATTCTGCCCATTTGCATGATTTAAGGCCTGTGCTCCAATTTAACCGGCATTTCTTCCTTGAACACCAGCTAAATTTGCTTGCATTGTATTATCAAGTAAATTTCTCAATTCCCAATTTTTTCCGTGGATGGTTCTTTCATACTAATCTTTAGAGTCACCTTTGAGAGATGCTATAAAAACACCATGAGCATTAATTCTATTAGCATGACCAGCCCCTATATCTATTCCAGAACCTACAAACCATAATCTAAATTCTTCAATATGTTTTTTGGGATCTTCAGTAGGATATTCATAAAATTTTTTTAATTTGTAACCCACCATACCTGTTTGATTATTATTATGATTCTGCAGTATATTATTCTGTAGTAATAAAATTTGGACTTGTAAATTTAAAATTAATTGCCATGAATTGTGCTCTCTATTTTTCCACTTGATATAACTTGCCTTCCGATCCTTAAATTTATTGTAATATCTATCAAAGAGCCGATCTCGATTATATTCTAATAATCCTTTATCAGCCTGACATTGTTGTAGCTCTTGTTCTAAGCAATGAATAAATATCTTAAAAATAATTTTGAAAGCATGTCTGAGTTTAAATTGCTCTTCTAATACCAAAGTAACATTATGCCATAAATACCTCCACATATCATATTTTTATTGCAATTTTCTACCATGTCTTTGGCACCTTCGGAGTTTAAAATTTAGTACAAATTTGTCAAGTAATAAAGTATTAATCCGCATCTACATTCCTCTTTCAAATTGCTGAGCGATCCCCCTCCATCTATGATATTCTGTCCACTCATTATTATAAGCTGTAGTCATTAAAGCAAGATTATTTTGAGAATTGTTACGCTCTAGTGTAAGTCAGTTAATATGATTTTGCAAGGTATCTCGTACTTGAATAAGTTGATTAGTTTGGTTCTGAAGGTCGACATTTTGTTATCTATAGTAATTGATATCCTGCTGTAGCCAGACTATCTGATTATTGCTATCATCTCATTGAGCGATAATACCATCTATATTCTGGTATGCAGACTGATAATTATGCCGAACAGTATTTAAGGAACCTCTAATGCCATTTATAATATTTATAGGATTATTTAATGGTATATCACCTCTAAGATGTTTTTCAATATGATACAAGTCTTGTTTAATTTGTATAAAAAGGTCAAGATTCGCCATATCTATATCTTTCTTTTCTGAATTATATAAACTTGAAGAGCTTTTTCGAGAAGAAATAACTTTGAATCTATGCCTTAGATTTTGAACCCGCTCTTCTAATTCTTGTAATTGCTTCTCTATATTATCAATATAGGATACCTTATCTTGAATTTCCTTTTTAGCTTGATATAAGCTTCTTTTAAGAGACGATATCTCTGATTTCAACTCGGCCTTTTCTTCTTCTGAAGCATTCTCGAGCCATTCCAGTTCTTTATTGAGGGATTGAATTTCATTCTCACATCTGGTATATTTGCACTCTAGCTTATTTATGTATTTCTCATTCGATTTGTTGATGGCTACCTCTGATTGTGATACCTCCTGGAGTTCTTGGTTAATTTGCTCTAGCTCAAGTTCTTTATCCATAGCTGATCTATAAGTTGTTTGATTAGGGGGTCATGCTCTACAAAATGCCATGGTTATTACAAAGTAATGAGACTCTGCTCTATTTTTTACGGCATATTATATTATCTTATCTCTTGACTTTGCTATAATAAGTAATATCAAAAATGAGTAGGTCTTTAGACCATGCTTCGCATAAATTAAGCATACCTATTATTAGAATCGATCCAAATGAGGAATTAAACTTAATATGTAAATTGCTTTTTTACCAGCCTACTGGCTACCATGCCAATTCTAGAAAATTATATAAAGATCTCAAGAAGGAAGGGTATCAGTTTCCATTCAAAAAAGTGCATAACTGACTTATAAACCAGAATGAATGGCAAAAGTATGTTCCATCACCAAAAGATACTCCATGGGTTAGTTATGGTAAAATTCAAAAACCAAATTGTGTACATCAATGTGACCTCTTATTTCTTACGCATGATTATTATAAAGGTAAAAAATGGAAAATAGTATTACAAATTATAGATGTGGGTAGCAGGTTCAAGGTAAGTATTCCCCTAACATCGAAGAATAGTTCTGAAGTTACTAAAGTATTTAAGAAAATTTATGATAACCCTAATAATCCTTTTACGTATCCGACACTTCTACAATGTGATGGTGATAAAGAATTCATGAGTGAAATTACTCGATTAATGGAAGCGTATAATGTCACAATTTGAATAATTAGTACTTATAGTCATCATGGATTAGCTCTTGTAGAATGATTCAATAAGATATTAGCAGAGATGCTTTATAAAATCCAATATGTCGTTGAATCAATATCTAAAAATTCTAAATTAATAAGAGAGTGGGTCAAGTATTTGCCAGAAGTAATAGATTATCTTAATAATTATTCAACACATCTCATTCGAGCTCTAGATTCATCAAAATGGGGTTTAGCTCTAGCAAAAGCTATTAAATTGGAACGAGTAGAATCTAGGCCATCTACAAAGTATAAGCATCCTATTGGAAAGGATGAGAAAAATAAGTTAAAAAAGGGGGATAGTGTTCGCTATCTGCTTGCTAATGCTGAATGAAAAGGAGGTATGGAGAATCAGAAAAGGGTGATGGATCTCACATTCAGTCCAAGCATTCATAAAA